AAACGAATCCACATGTTTCTAGAAATGATATGAAATCGAGAAAGGTTAATGCAGTCAAGCTGCTGGAAAATAATAACGGGTTCCATGAATGTTTATTCATGGAACCCGTTCAGCAAAAAGCTCATACAAAAGCCGCAGAGGTCACCTCACTTCTGCGGAAGCACAACAATTAGCCAATGCATGGGGTCTTCTTCAATAACATTGAAGATATTGGCTTAACAAAGCACCTGACTTTCGCTTTTCTCAGGTAGAGTGGGCTGAAGTCGGAAACTGAGGGGTTCATCATGGCTTGCCAGGATAGTGTCTTCAACACTTTAGTCTTTAGTCGCGTGATGGGTATAGAGGTTTCTGACACGAGGTGCAGGGCCTGCCGCGAGGCGTCCGAGACCCAAATGCACTTACTATCAGCATGTTCAGCATATGCGGTCTCGGCCCACGCTCAAGCTCATACAAGCTAATAAGTCTGATGAAATCCTTCTTGACCACCAGAGAAGACGATATTTGTCTTGGAGTTTTCAGCTCTTGGCGAGACGAATATCGTCCGAAAAGAGAAAGAAAACCGGATGAAATATCGAGATTTTCGCTTCGAACTCCGCAGACTCTATTCAGAACACGCTATCAAAATGGAGTCCTTGGTGGAATGATGCCCTTTCTACTGTCGAATCTTAAAATCGTACCGGCCTGCCGCACTAAGGCAGAAGTTTCAGGCCGGACAGATGCAGACGGCTGTCATTCTTAGCTCACTGCGCTTGCTCAGGGCACATGATTTTCGGACCCAATGATCACTTACGGTGTGGAGAGTGGTCGTTGTTTTTTCCGAATTATCGAATGTTTACCATTGAGGATGATAGTGGTGAAATTTCATCTCTTTTATAGGAGTATACTATTTTGTGTAGCAATCCTGTGAATGATATCTGATTCAATTCCATTACGAATGATTGGAAAACGAACTGTTCATATGAAAGAAGTTTCAAAGTGTTTGTTTACATGAAAGTAGTTTCGAGGGGAATTTTTCTTCCAGTTTATGTCTTAAGTTACTTCTTTGCATGAATTAGAAATCACTGTGGAGATTTTATTATGAAATTAATTACTTTCATAGATGTAGGTAATATGTAATAAATTCATTTTGAATAATTGACTTACGACACAAGTGGTGTAATTTTTGAATTATATGTATTGTTTATCATCTCCTGGATATCCTGGAATTGCAAATGATCAAAAAAAACTGATTTATTGACAATTGAAGATTACAGATATGGAAGATTTAATAGAGAAGATGGATTATTATCTATCTGAATTCAATGTTATCTCCAAATCTCCTATGAATTTGGTCATGTTCAAATTTGCTATAGAACATGTATCTAGAGTGTCGAGGATACTCATGCAACCCAGTGGTAACGTCTTGTTGGTGGGAATAGGAGGTTCTGGACGGCACAGTTCCGCTAAGTTAGCAGGGTTCATGGCTGAGAGCAACCTGTTTGAGGTAAATGAAAATATGTTTCATGTTTTAAATCAAAGAGTGAAAATGCGACTTTGAGTAAATTTCATTCGTTTTGCATTGATTCCAATGAGAGAAAATTTGTATATTCTGTAGATCGAATTGACACGAAACTATAGTATATCCGATTGGAGGGATGACTTGAAGAAACTATTTACCCGAGCTGGTTGTGAAGGAAAACCTATCATATTCCTTTTTGCGGATACTCAGATTGCCGACGAAATGTTCATTGAAGATATCAATACTGTTCTGAATACTGCTGATGTTCCCAACTTATTTGCTCCTGATGATAAAAATTTCTCTATGACCTCTTTGAAAGAAATCCACCCGTCTCTTTGAGGATCCGTCATGGTTGTGATGAACTGTGTATCAGCCATAAGTCGTCTAATATCTAGTCCAACGAAAACACCTTTCTTCAACTTTGCTTCTGAGAGGCCTGAAAACATTGATATCAAAATATCACCTATTGGAAGTGACTTCACAAATTGCTTCATTCCAGATTTATGTGAAGCCTCAGTACAAAAAATTCATGAGGAGGTTCCAATGTTTCATGCAGTATGTTTTTTTGCCAACGTTGAGCACCCTCAGGATTTGCTTGGTCTCTACTATCCCAAAGACACAACAAGCTAGGGAATTTGGTAAACCCAGATTGTTGTCCGAGCAACATGCCTAAGATTTTCAAATCACCGCACACTTGCCAACCGTTGTCATATTTCAAAACATAACAATCTTTACTGATAGTAGACAAGCTCTATTAGCCTTGAATAGACAACGTGTTACCTCAGGGCTAGTACTAGAGTGCTACCAAGCGTCGGTAGATAATCCTGAGGTGAGTAAAGGTAATCGCGTTGCCGACTCTTTAGCCAAGAAAGCGGCTGGACTAAGAATTTTAGGACCTAGTGACACCTGCGGTCTGACGACTTCGACAATTGCGGAACTAGCCAAACATCACACTCATGCTCAATCCCTAAAGAGATGGGACAGAATCGAAGGATGCATTCTTGCCTGGATCACCCTCGGCGACCCTGGGAAGCTGGCGCCGAAGAAATATCTGGATTTCTGACTGGCCACTGTCAACTAAGGAAACATCCCCATAATATGGGGCTAGTGGACACACCTCTATGTAGGATGTGTGAGCAGGAAGATGAAATTGTCAGGCATAATTTATGCGAGTGTCCGGAGTTATCGTCAATAAGGGAGTGTGTGTTCGGCGAGTCTTGGAGTACATCTGCCGATATAAAGGAAATGTCTCCTAGTGACCTGTCTACCTTTCTGGAAAGGACAGGATGGACGACGATCTAGGAGGACAACTCCTCGAAAGGATGCACAATGGGTCACATGTGGCCTAAGTGCTGTTGGCCGTTCACTCATCCTCCCTACTATAATAATAATATGATTTTATTTCCTTCAGACACTACAGGCTGTATGGAAAAAGTCAAAGGAAGGGTTTCATACAAAGTGCATATACCATCAACAAACGAATAGCAAACACCGCATAAAAACATACAAACGGTTATATATAACAGATAATCAAAAGCAAATAAGTACATAAATAGATGAGTAGGCACTGTTACCGCGAGACTTTCCGAACCGTCTTGAATTTTGCAATTGGATGCTGGAAATGATTAGAAGAAATTGTGACTTTCTGAAGACGATAGAATTTACAGACACAGACACAAGATTATTAATTTTCATAATTACCACATATGAGCTGATGAAAACCCTCACGCTGTTGTCGAAACTAACCATCAAGAACAGTTTTCTCCTAACGTGTGGCTCGGAGTTATTGGGGATAATTTGATTGGGCCTCATTTTCTACCTCATCGATCAAATGGTGAGGCATACGTTCAAATTTTAAGAGAAGTGCATCCAGTACTGCTGGAGGAAGTTCCTTTGGGCATCAGAGGGGATATGTTTTTTATGCATGATGAGGCTCAGTGGATAGGTCGAGGAGGACCACAGAACTGGCCCGCTCGATCCCCGGATCTCAATCCTCTCGATTTCTCTATTTGGGCACATTTACAGCATTTGGTATATCGTTTTCTTGTTTGCGATGTAGAGAACTTAAGAAACCGCATCATTGATGCGTGCAGGGTAATCAGAGAGACTCCAGAAATATTTGAGCGAATACGTTCATTGCGCTGACGTCGAGACGCATGCGTAATGTTTTAAGGTAGACATATTGAACATTTACTATGATTTCTACATGTTGTGTGTTTTGTTATTAATAAATTAGTTTTTTTTATTACCCTTTAATCGTTTAATGCAGGTACTAACTACAAAATAACTGTTGAAATGTATAACAAAATATAACAAGTAGCGACATCTGTTATCTGCTAGATGTAAAAACTATCTAGAATAAAAGTCAGTTGTTGCCCGTCCGTTGAACGATTCATTACAGGTTATGGGCTAATCACGTGTGTAAAAAAAGTTCATTTATATTTGGTGAAAATATAGTGCAAAAATGTCGACAAACCTTATTGCTAGTATTGCAAAGCTAAAGGGTAGAGAAAATTACGAGGATTGGGCGTTCGCTGTGGAGAACTATCTCATATTAGAAGGCATGCAACAGTGCATCACGTCCAACACTGATCCGAACGACGCGAAAGCGAAAGCAAAAATAGTATTAACTATAGATCCCAGTTTATTCGTGCATATAAAAAGTGAACCAACTGCAATGGGGCTATGGCAGAAACTGAAAAAACTTTTTGATGATAATGGCTACACGCGGCGCATCGGATTACTTCGTAACCTCATATCAATTCGTTGTGAAAATTGTGATTCTATGTCTCAATATGTGACCATAAATCCAATTCGCATTTATGACGATGTATCTCTGTAGTTGTTCGTAAAATAATTTTTTGCTGCGAACTGGTTTATTTTGGTCAAAAAACTCAAGATACATTTTTTGTTTAGAATGAAACAGTCTATCGGAAATACATTTTCAAATGGTATCTGTGATTCACACAGTCAAATGCCTTGCTGAGATCACAAAAAATCCCAACAGGGCATACGCCTGCCTCAATGTAATCCACTAGTTTGTTTCAATTTGCGAAGACTCAATTCCAGATTCTTGTAGGAATGGAGGCATAGAAACCGCTATCATGAAGCAGAACTGCTTTAAGGCTTTGTTTTTAAAGCATCTATGAAAATACGCCACAGTGCTGGGTCATATGAAATATTCAAAGTATTCATCAAACCTTCAATATTCGTTTCATAAACCAACACGTCCTGTTGGACAAAGTAGGAAGTGAACTGCTTCTCTCTATATCTAAACCAGGAGGTTGTCACTCCCGGCAAAAAAAAGGGGGGGTAAGAGGTTCCCGCCAACCACCCCTGTCTCTGAAGTAGACAGGCCTCTTGGAATCTACGTGAGGTTATTTGTCCTCGATGACTTTGTTCACCTTTATTACTTGTTTTTCTGGGAATTTTGCGATGACAATAGGGCTGTTGAGCCAATTCTAAGGGAGTTTCTACTTCTTCAGTCTATCTCCCAGATCCTAATGATGACTTGGCCACCGTATTAGTATGTGTGTTACGATTTTGGCCTTTGTTGGCTCGCGGATTTTGGGTTACTTATTACCTATCTCATACCTAAGAAAAGAGATGAGTATGAATGTAAATGAGTATAAAATGTTTATGTAAGTACATTGTAAATATTAAAATTGTATTAAAATTTATATAAAATGTATGTAAAATTGTGAATATTAGAGTATAGAATGTATACGTGAAGCACATTGTAAATATTAAAATTAACTTTGATGTAAAGTAGATGAAATGTAAGATGAGCGGATTTGGTAGGCTGCTGCGGCTGCTGTAAATAAAATATTTATTAAGCTGTATGGGAAAGCAAGAGTTTGGTACGCTGTAAAGGAAATATGTGTAGTGTAAGTTTTAATGTATTTAGCGTCGAAGGTATGTTTCAGCTTATCTTCTGGGGGTCCGCATCCTTGGATACGGTCCTTTTAGTTCCTTGCGAACCTGCATAGTCCTTCGAGGTTTTCATTGAGAGCCCGTGGGCAGCCTTTGTTCTTGGTTCTATCGTGGCTGTTTTGGACTTCTGCGGGTTGCATTGTCCGATTCTTGTCTTTGGCTTAGGGTCCATAATCTGTGTTATGGATTTGTCCCTGGAGCCTTCGCAGGTAAGACTGGCATTCCTTATCTGTGGCTCTGTGGTTTGTATTGTCTATTCTCGCTCTTTCGCAATTTATGCATTTTGGTCTTCCTTTTTTGGGGCACGCTTTAGTTTCGTGCTCAAGCGCACATATTCCGCATACCGCTGGACTTCTGCAGTCCTTTGCAAAATGGCCGAACTTCTGGCAATTATAGCATCTTATAACTCTGAGATGGTCTCTGACGTTGTGTTTTTGCCAGCCTCTAAGTACTCCGCCTTTCTCCATTAATTTGGTCCTAATTTTTTGGCAGACCTCTATAACCCACGTGCATGTATCTCTGTTTTTGTCTCCGTATTTGTAAAGGGCTTTGACCTCTTCTGGGTCTTGGACTGGGCAAAAGTAAGTTTGGGCCTTGATACAAGCAACTCGGCGTCGTTTTTGGGAAAATTCAAATCTATCACCAAATCATTCAACTCGCCCTGGGAAAACAGTTTCGAATTCAAAACTTGACTTGTCATCGGGTTCAGGTACAGCACCAACTTTGACAGAACTTCCAAGGTAGCAGGAGCCTTGGGCACTGGTATTCCGGTCCCATGAGGAATGGGACAGATAGCTTATTGTGATTGGGGTATGAAATTGACTGCTTTCGTTTTTAATTATATCTTTTTATATTATACCAACAAAAGTAATAAGCATCACTCTGGCTCTTTTATTCGCGTCATACCATAAGAATCGCACATCGAAAAGCTTTTTTCTTGCCCTCAAACCAATTTTGAAGGCTCCAACCTATCGTTTGCAGACTTCATGAGGTGCGCATACTTCATCCTAATCTCCAAGTTTTGAGTCCAGTATGCTTTTTTATAAAGTCCGTAGTATGTTGTTGCTTCGATGCAATATATTTGCCATAAAAATAAAAAAAAAGGTACAAATTCTTACACTTCCGCACGGATGACATTGCACTATACTGAATGAGGATCTACGAAACAATGACGAGTTAATACGTAATAGGGAACNGGCAATTGTTGGAGATTCCAAAAATAATATTATATACAGAGTGTTCCATTTGAAAAATCAAAGTTGCTACTGCTTTCTAATAGAAGCGGCAACACCGCATTGTCGAAAATATTTTAGTTGGCTAGAGAATGTCCGAATATGCCCTCCATTAAATTTTCAAAGTGATCCGTTGTCTGGTTCACCAGAAACGTCTAATGTGCCATCCACCGTGAATCAGCCTGTATATTGTATATATAAAATAAATAGATAAGTACTTTTTGATCATTCCCATATTGATTTCAATTTGAGAGCCACCGGTAGACAGCTGTTTCAGCCTATTGGGCATCGTCAGTACCGGGCAGGCGTTTCTCCATAAGTGGAATCACCTATTGGTGTGACACCCAAGTCAACTTGCCAAGTTCTGAAACCATTGGGAATGGTTGTGCCATCCACCGTGAATCAGCCTGTATATAGTGACAAAATAGCTTTTTGATTGATAATTATAGGTAACCTTCGTCTCAAAAAAAGAACTTCCTGATCTGAATAAAATTGAATCGACCATACCTCATCGTAAATTTTTGGTTCAGCATCTGGAAGAATATAGTTGCCGAAAAATAAGTTCCTTATGTGCTGCGGATTGATAGATTCTCCTTCTGGAATAAGATCTGCACACACTTTTTCCATATGTTGTCTATAGTTCTGGTAACACGCTTTTTTCACAATTCCAAATAATAGATTTCTGAAAAGTAGAAGCATGGTTTCAGAATTCAGTTTTATAATTAATTTGGAAACAGATGTATACACAAAGTAAGCGGTGAATTCTAAAAAGTATATCGTTAATGACAAATGAAACCTTGTGAAGGGTAAGGGAGGCTATGATTTCCAACATTCATTTTTCGAAAGAACAATCTGGAAATGAATTGTGTTGCTTCAGGAAACGGAGTCAATCATAACTAATAAAAGAAGAATACCGATTCATTATTTGATCGGAGAAGACATTCATTTGTGTGTAGAGAACATAAAGAGAAGATGAGCAGGGTCGTTGAGAAATGAATTACATATCATTAGATTAAGAATGAGATAAAAATTAACTGAATTTTGAGACACTCACAACGTAAATGTGTTGTCTTCTAGTCAGTGACATTTAGTGAAATAGTGAAAACTACTATACATATAGGATAAAAGTTGATCAAGTGGAAAGCAATAAAATGTTTAAAAATATTATATGAGGAAATGTTACACTCTATGTTAAAAAAAGCATCTATAAAACTTCTGTTAGCTCAGATGTTCTAATAGTTCACTTCGTAGATAAATATATATTACGGAAAATAACACATATAATGAGTATAACATAACAAAAACCTAATGTAACACTACACTCGTTAATAAGTATTTTCTTCATTGCTTGAACAGTCATAGCACTTAACAGTCCAGATCGAAGACTTTGCACAGGTGGCTGATGGTTTTACTTCAAGTATCTGCGCTGCATTAGCTGGGTAAGTTGTTGTTTTTCCGTTGGGTATCTACCACACGTACCAAAAAAGTCGTAGGCCTGCATGAGAGAAAAGGGGCAACCTTTAGCATGTCATAATGCACCTCTCTGGAATTTTAATCATCATTCCGACTCCCACCCCGGAGTATGCCTGTGGAGTTGTTACTTGGCTCTATCTGCAGGTGGTGCAAGGGACTTCCCACTGAATCAACTGCAGAAAGGTTTCATGACCAGCTGGAATTATATTTGTTTGATCGTGATACTCAGACGGTTCGCACCGTTCTGAAGAGACCATGCCCGGTACTAATGATAGGGCAAGCATCCCAAAACTGGTCTATCGGTTGGTCGTATCGACCAACCGGCATTAGTTGGGTTAGTTGTTTTTTCGTTGGGCATCTGCGACACGTACCTACAAAGTCGTAGGTCTGCATGAGAGGACACGGGCAACCTTGAACATGTCATAATGCACCTCTCCGGAATATTATTGATGCTACCTCACAATATTTCATCAACAAGAGGATTGGAAAAGTTTTTTGATGATCTGAATCTGTAGGCTCGTCAGATGATCTATACTCAGCAGGATGGAGCACGACCACATAATTTCAGTGGCATAAAAATAATTTGACAGACTGTTTAGGAAACAGATGGATTACTACAAATGGTCCTGTTGAGTAGCCTCCTCGTTCACCAGACATGACACCTCTAGATTTTTATTTTTGTGAATTTCTGTAAACTGAGGTGTACAAAATGAAACATAATAATGTAGATGATTCGAAACATTATATTGAAACCATAATTAATAGAATTGATGGCCGAATTATCTTGAAAGCAACACGTTGTATCAAGAGTAAAGACCAAATATATGTTCAACAGAAAGGCGGTATTTTTGAATATTTACTGGATATTTTAGAGCTCTGTATTTGCCAAAACAAAGATATATTTTGTACAAGCGAAAAAACTTCAGGAAGGAAGATGATACGAGCTTTGTTGTTGACAATGTTATTACAAATTGAAATTCATAATGAAATATAGTGTTCTATTCAAAAAAATATCATTTTATGAAATATTTTGAAAACGCGACTGTCAATATTTTTGTGAAATTGTACACTCATATGTTGATAACCTTGACATATTTTGTTTGTATAATGGATATAAAATTGGAACCAAACCCTATCTTCAAAAAACGCTCCCATTCCATAAATATCTAGTAAATAACACCTAATTTATTCCGTGCTAATTTTCCAATGGTGAAATATGAGTATGAAAAGGCATCCATCATCCCTATAACTCCACTTCTATCGGTACTATAAAATAAAAAAGATTCAAATGTCAAGTAGCCTCAGACTATCTTGTAAGTGGATCATTCTTTCGGGAGAAGGTAGAAAGAAAATTTAATTAATTATAGAGAATTGTGTACTCTGGAATATGGGAAAACATTGGTTGAATATCGAGCTGAATGCTAGTAAACAGGAGAAGAATAATTTTGTATCATTCGTTTCTTGAAAAAAAATTATGCTCTTGTGGAAATTATCACTCCATTCTAATAACTCTTGCATGTTGAATCGTTCGTTTCCATATATGGTAAATGTCATAATAAAACTACTAACCTGTCATTTTCATCAATAAGTCTATCGTGAAATACTCTGTAAGTTTCATGGATCCAAAGTCGGATAAATTTGTCTGGATCATCCAGTTTGGCAGGTGGTGTCAGTAAAAGGCCATTGATTACCCGCGCAAAGTCTCTCAGAGAAAAAGTGTAATGAGATTTCGACGGGGTGGGTAGAAAATTGAGAGTGGCTTCCTTATATACTTCTATCGTTGCTCCAATACAAAACTAGAAAAAAAGATGATTTGACAAAGTTAGAAGCAAACCTGAATGTATATAAAAAGATTGCCTTTTGTCGAATAAAACTTGATTTCCAACACCACAACGAAGAATTATCAACAGCGTTTAAAGGTGACAGTAATAAATTCAACTGCATTTATTTCTTTGATCATTCAGAATAATATGTGAATATTTGTTCAGATAGTTTTTGAAAGTATCAGATGAAATTTTCATTTTCCATATTGTGTTCCTAAGAAACATGAATGAGAGAATGTATATATATTTGGAAACATAATTTATAATTAAAAAACTGCATCAATTTTCTAGAATAGAGGGTAAAGTGGGGCACATATGGACAATATAAATTTCCCGCCCCTGTAGCACCATGAGAACAACTGCGCACTTTTATGGTAACATTAGTGCATGTAGTTACAGCGTCGATGTGTTTATCTGAAAAATATTGCATTTTACTGTGTCAAATAATCAACTGAATATTTTGTACCTCAAATGTAAGTATATACACCTTTTGTTCATAAGATCAAAACAATAATTTTATATCTTTCTGATAAGATGTTTTAGGTTTATATCAAATATTATTCTATTGCAATCAACATAACCCAAGAAAACGTACTTCTATCGTCAACGTGTTTGTAATATCATCGGATGAATACATTTTTCTCATGTGGGGCAGGCACATTCGGACAGATATAATGGGGGTAGATTTGGACTATTCCAGAAGTGCCCCATTTTCATCACAATAAACTGATTGGCAAAAATCAATTCATTTTCGATGAATATTGTGAACTTTCATTCAATAAGGATATTTTTATTGGACCATATTTTTATCTGAATATAAACATTGAGTACGACTTTATAGTTACGCCTACGTTGTATCGTCCTTGTCATTAATTTTTTTTCTAGTATGGTGCGGAATTATAAACGCAAAACAGTCAGAGCCAACATTTCCACGGAAGATTAGCGTAAAGCAATAAATGAGGTCATCACGCATGAAAAAAAATTAGAGATGCAGCTGCAATGTATAATATAAAGAAATCAACCCTGCATTTTCACCTAAGAAAAGCGAAGTCTGCAAATAAGTCAGACTCAGGCAATGACAGTAATGAATATTCAGAAGTAGATATGTCCTTAAGCTCAAAATATGCATCTCAACAAGTTTTCTCCTTCGCAGAAGAAACAAAGTTAAAAGAGTATCTACTTAAGGCATCATCAATGAACTTTAGACTGACATATCTACATACGAGATCCTTAGCATTCCAATTTGCCAAAATGTTATCCAAAAAATATACACTTGTTTGGAATGACAACCAGATTGCTGGAATTAAATGGATGCGGTCCTTCATGAAACGCCAACAAGAATTGTCGAATAGAAAACCAGAAAACATTAGCATTGCACGTACATCTGGCTTCAACAAATCCAATGTTGGAATGTTTTTCAAAAGTTTTAGGGAAGTTATGGTTAAATATAAATTTTCTCCAGACTGAATTCTGAATACGGATGAGAGTGGTGTCTCAACAGTAATGCAAGGTCCAAAAATTATAACGAAGACCGGCATGAAGCAAGTCAGCCAATGTGTTTCTTCAGAAAGAGGGACCCTCGTTACTTTTTGTGGAATCATTACCGCAACTGGTGTCGCCATTACCCCTTATATATTTTTTCACGAGTGAGAATGAAAGATCAATATTTGTACGGTAGTATGACTGCTTCCATTGGAAGAGCTACGAAATCAGGTTGGATGTCTGCAGAAATATTCGTACAACTGCTGGGAGATATAAAGAAGCATATGAATAGTACTGCAGACAATCCAATGCTCCTACTTCTGGACAACCATGAAACGCATATTTCATTGAATGTGATGAATTATTGACGAGGAAACGGCATAGTGATGTTGAGCTTTCCACCAGATTGCTCCCATAGGATGCAGCCGCTTGATATTTGCCTCTATGGTCCGTTCAAATCTAGATGCAAGACATCTTTCAATGACTATGTTGTGGGTAATCCTGGCAAAGCAATAACAATTAACGATATTGCAAAATTAACTTCACAACCATATTTATTATCGTTCACTCCTCACAATATCACTAAGTCATTTGAAAAAACTGGAATCTGGCCAATAAACAGCCTTATTTTCAATGACGATGAATTTGCAGGGGTTCTCAGCTATGGACCTGAAGGTATTAGTGAACCATATTCAAGTACACAATCAGATAATCGTAATACTTGTCAATCACTCACAAGTAGTACTTGTGAACCCTCTACAAGTAAACAACCAATCGCAAGTACAAGTAAGTCAGACTTTGATCTTGAAAACACTGTTATGAAGGAAGTCAACTCCCTTTCATCAATAAATGAGCCTTCCAAAAATAATACACTAGACGATATTCGACCTTTTCCTGTCTGGAACCAAAAAATAATAATAAACGAGGAAGAAAGAAAGGATAATCGTGTATCTTTACTAGCACTCCAGAAATGACTAGAGTACAAGAAAAGGAAAATATTAAACAAGCTAAGAGAAGAGAACAAGAAGTGAAACGAACAAAAACTGTAAAAAGACAACTAGTAAAAAAAATAACGCTCTTGGTGTAACGACAAGAAAAACTCTCGAAAAGAAACGAACCTTTTCGAGTTCCTCGAAGTCTAACGTTGATGTGGAGGAAACAGTAAGATCCGATTCTGAATTAGATCTCTGTAGTGAATACGGAGATGTTAATAAACTATTGGACGACGAATGCATTGAAGTACAGGACTTCGTACTGGTGAAGTTTCCAACGAAGAAAAATATTGTTTATTTTGTGGGCCTCATAGAAGAAATCAGTGGGAATGAACTTACTGTGAATTTTCTGAAATACAAAGAGAATTGTGGATTTTATTATCCGGTCACCAACGACATTAGCCTGTTGATACTTGGAATTTAATGTATCATTTTTCATTACAACATACAAATATATTTTAACCGGTAGGAAGCCATACGAGTTCAATAATATGTACCTATGTCTATTAATAAATATGTTTATGAATTAGTCCAATTCAACCCCACTAATGTCCAAATGAACCCCATGGTGGGGCACAATTGAACGAATGCACTACTTCAAAAATATCATTATTCCTCCCAGAAATGATAATTTATTATCGAATCCAACTGATTAATTTGTTGCCAAGATTTGTAGCTATCTTCTAGTGCAGCTGAGAGCCCCATATGTTATAAACAGCTTAATAAATCCACTTGGAAAAAAAGTGTACGAATGTGCCCCACCCTCCCCTACCAAATTTGAAAATCAACTGAGTTTGAGAAATCAATGAATTCTATACCTAATTATATACTTGATCATTTGATCAATCGGTTATCTTACCTTCGAGAGTCTCGAAATATTTTCTGCGAATCCTTTAGCGAAATGCCAATCGAGAATGGTGACAAATATTTTATTCAATGTATTATCATCAAAAGAGTCCAGTCCAATGATCTGCATGTGCCTCAAAAATCTATCAGTTATTTCATTTCTACCACCGCCAGGTACGCCCATTGCACCAACAAACATCTAGAAAATATAAGAAGCAATCAAGTTGGTACAAAAACAATGAAAATGGTTTGGGGATTGTCCAACTTTTGAGAAAAAATTTGGCAAATTTAATGATACTGTCCAATCACATATCCCAATCGCCCTATTCCTCGTATAAGGACACTACCTTGCACATACGAGTGGCCAAATAGCCCGAAACCGGTCCGCAAGTATGCCCTGTGCCAACAATTTGAAAGCGTTTTCAGCATATGCTGTTGGCAATACGCCAACAGCATATGCTGATAACAGGCTTTATTCACAATACACATGAAAACATGAAAAATCATTCAAATGAAGTCTTCTGTGCATAACCTTTTTGCAAATGTTGACTTTCGTTTATATGTTTCATCGTTTTCCCTCATAAGGAACCAACAATAATCCCCCATCATTGCTGCATCCCATATGCCTTGGCAACGTTGCCAACGTCTTTCCCCTTGTTCGTCACTGACAGCACCTAAATTTTCTGGGAAAAAATTCAAATGGGATTGCAAGCAATGGATTTTGAGAGACATGCGACATCCATTCTGCAGTAGTTTTTAAGTAGTTCTTCTACAAGTGTTTCGTAATTTCTTTTTCCCTAAAAATTTCGAAACAATTCTTTTAAAAGAACTCCACGCAGCTAATTCAACATTACTTGATTTTTGATCAAGATTAATCACTTATAGTAGTTTTCTAATTTGTTGTAACATCAAAAACAGTTGGATGGTTCAAAGTTCTGACTTCGAAAATAAATTGAGCTTGAAGTGAAGAAAGCAGTTTTTGGAATTTTGCAAAAAATTTACAGTTATGTTAACTCAAAAATCCTTGATTTTACATAGAAAATAGCTATGACGTGTATTCATTGATGCTCCAATCAATAATATTAATCATTTCAAATATTCGAATGAAAACCACAACTTTTCAGATACACATTTAGAGTCATTTCGAAATCAAAAATAGACAGATTGACTAATAGATCATAATACAAAACAAACCAAACAACTACTAGTTGAAGCATTTCGTTGAAATTTGAAAAATTCGAACGTAAAAGTATACATTAATGTCTCAAAGAAATTGAAAATTAATAAAAAAAACAAAACTTAAAACTTAGGTAAGAATTTAAAATGCTTTTGCTTTCTTTCTCTTATTGGAATTTTGATTCCCATATTACATTATTTATTTTTGACGATTATTATAATTCAGTTTTCTATACTATGTGCTGTACACTTTATTGATCAGTTAATATTCAAATAATTTTGTTGGTTCAATGTATAAGTTTGAAAATGTCCCTATAGGACGAAACTGCAGTTACGATAGTTACAAATAGAAAGTGTCAATTCTCTTCTCTTCATTATGATTTCCTACCACGTAGTAACGGCTACATCTATCAATTTAATAATTTATTTAATTTGAATTTTATTATTGTTGTAGACACTATTGTTTCTGGGGATTGATAACTATTTTTTTTTCACATTAGAATATACTCACAATGTCAACTAACTGTAACATGGAGGTGTCTTTTTCGAACCAATGACCATGATCAATCCACTGCCGCAATAGTTCTACAGGAGGTTGAGCCCCCCAAACCTCTTTTTGGGGCATACCAACATCATCCACGAAAAGAACACATTTTTTACCCATTGACGGGCCAAATACTCCTCGCCTCCTCTTATCTAGTTTTGACATCACCATTTCTTGAGTCTGAAATATATATGTAAATCCAGGACTAGTTAATAGCGTACAAATGAATCTATCATATCAGAACAAGAAATGAAGCCTGAAAATTGCTTTCATCTACATTGATTCACTATCATCTTATGTGACTCTTCCACAAGAGAATGTTTTGTTTGAATAATTTGAAAGGGTTATATTTAGGAGTGACTAATTTTTGGGAAAGAAAGTTTTTGGCTTTCTACTACTCCATCTAGACACAAAAAAATATGGGAATCTTCCAAAGAAAGGAAGGGAGTAATCAATTTCAAAAGATCATGCAAAGAAGTAACTTTCAGAAACAAATCTGCAAGAAAAAGCCTTCCTGAAACAGCTACTTTCATATAAATACTGAATTACACGAAAGAAAAATTCTTTCGAAACAAATACTTTTATATGAACTCTGAATTATACAGAAAACACTTTTTTCTACTCAGTTTGTATTCCAAACATTCGTTATGGAATTAAATCAGATATCATTCACAGGATTTCTACACTATATACTAAATTAATCACTTCTAAAAATATAACCCTTTCAAATCAAACAAGATTTCTTTTGGTTGGGATTCAACAAATAGGTGAACGAATGTCATTACGATGTCATCGATCACATAAGTAGATCAAACTTATTCCGTGACATAACAAATCGTAATTTATGAACGAAATGTTTGCTTTTTCTTATGTTATCCAGATTGGTACTGAAGAGCCATAAGGCAAGTATCTCACGACGAAAAATCGATGGCTACCAGTGAGCATGACAGTGTTCCATGTAGGTGAAATTTTTATTTTGATTTAGTACATGGTGTAGAAACCCTGTAAATGATATCTGAATTAATTTCATAAAGAATGTTTGGATTACAAATCGAGTAGAAAAAAGTGTTTTCTGTTTAAGGGAGTGCTCATTTGAAAGTATTCGTTCCGAAAAAAATGTTTCTTTCGTGTAATTCAATGTTTATGCAGAGTCATCCCCAAAGTATGCACCATATGGGAAACTTTATTAAGGGTTTTTCGACAAAAAGTTATTCTTGATAAAAGTTTGTGCATTTCCTAAAACTAAACATGCACCAACAAAATACAGTGAAACATACGTAATATACGAGGAGTCTTCAAATATTTGATTTGTTCAAAGTTTTCGGAAACAGGTATTGGGAACACGGTTTGAAATTTTTGGTATAACCAATCAATGATAACTTTTCTTTTTCCAAGAATGTATAGTATATGTCTTATTCAGTTTATGTTATGCATTAAATTACATTTTCAATATACCTTAAGAGTCTCTTGGGATAATACAACTTATTATCTTTCACTTATGACAGCTGAATATCAAACTCAAAATATTCATTTTCTCCAAAATATTGGTTATGTTTGAAATATAATTTATTGTGATCATCAATCAATCAATCAATCTTACCATCATTGAAGTTGTTCTGGCGCTAAAATTGATGACGTTTGGCAGAAACTTCTCTTTAGGCAAGTTCAGCATATGATCTAGTACTACCGCCGTTTTACCGGTTCCAGTAGGACCGACAAAAAGAAGCGGTATATTATTATTGAGGCACGTTTGCAGAAAATACCTCTGACATGCAGATCCATTTGTTTGGATTATCAGTTCACTAGCCTGAAAAAATATCCAGCTTCAATCAGAATCAACTTTGAATCACATAAATATTCGATAATCACGATGACATTTTCAGAATTACTGCAGAATTATGCATATTAGTATGATATATATCTTACTTTTGCATTTACTGGTATTTGTTGAACCTTCTCCATAGTGTCAGACCAAGTGATCCAGGTGCCGTTTAATTTTTCAAATCAGAAACGTATTTTTTTCAATTTTCCAGATTTTCAACTCAGCTGAGTATAGCTTCGGAATGGAAAAATAGTAATACAAGGTTTAACCAGGCTTTTGCTATTCTACAAATTTGAATTCCACGTTTCATATCATATTTGATAACTATCCAGTTATACCTATCATTGAGACTCGATCTTTAGTATTGATGGATGCTTGTGGATATATTCTAATCGAATTCTGATTTGAAAAATGAAGATGATTTTTATTTGAGTAGAACTTGAACTGTACTGATAGCCTCGGTAGATAATAACATTATCCTGAGGTGAATTGAAGGGCACGACAGGAGTAAAGGTAATCGCATTGCCGACTCTTTAGCCAAGAAAGCGGCTGGACTAAGAATTTTAGGACCCAGTGACACCTACAGCCTGATGACTTCGACAATTGCGGAACTAGCCAAACGTCACACACATGATCAACCCCTAAAGAGATGGGATGAAATCAAAGGATGCAATCTTGCCAGGATTACCCTGGGCAGCTGGGGCCGAAGAAATAACTGTGCGATGATTAGGAAAAATCTACGCTTAACAGTAAAATTTCTGACTGACCACTGTCTACTTAGGAAACACCTCCACAATATGGAGCTAGTGAACACACCTCTATGCAAAATGTGTAAACAGGAACATGAAATTGTCAGGCATGTCCTGTGCGAGTGTTTGGAGTTATCATCAATAAGAAAGTGTGTGTTCGGCGAGTCTTGGCCTACACTTGCCGATATAAAGGAGATGTTTTCCAGTGACCTGTCCACCTTCCTGGAAAGGACAGGATGGACGATGACCCAGGAGGACAACTCTTCGGATGGATGTGCAATGGGTCACATGTGGCCTAAGTGTTTTGGGCCTTCACTCACCCTCCCTACTCTACAGATACAGATACAGATACGAACTTGAACTGAATTCAGAAAAACTAAAAATTTAATATGAGTTGCGATCTGTTTTGTTTCAAATTAACAATTTTATACGAATTTATCCCTTGAGTAAATATTTTTCAGATCTTTTGGTGATACAAGTGAGTCCGATAAGTTTCCGACCGCAACATGAAGATGGCAGTACTCGTCAATAAAATCTAGTGAATTTCGTTGTTCATCTGTTGACAGTTACTCATCAAAGTTTTAGCCATTTTAGACGCCTAGTTGTTATGTAACAGTCGTTTGGGTGAATTGATGTAAGTATTTTATGAAAATTGACAAAATCGAGTATCGAGCTGTCATTGAATATTTGTTTTTGAAAGGCAATACGCCCACGCAAATCAAAGATGACTTGGATTATGTGTATGGGGATTCTGCACCATCATTTACAATAGTGAAATTTTGAGCAACTGAATTCAAACGTGGCCATAAGAGCTTGGGAGACGATGAACTTTCAGGATCTCCAAAAACTGCACCTACCGACAAAAATATCACTAAAGTTCACCAAATGGTGCTAGACGACTGCCGAATTGAAGTGAGAGACATAGCACAGGTTATGGACATGTCAAGAGAATGTGGTTGTCGCATATTGAATTAACATTTAGGCATGCCGCGTTTGCTCACGTCAGACCAAAAAAGCGTTCGAACGAACGTTTTCAAAGCTCTGTTGGCGCAGTTTAGGCGCAGTAAATCCAAGTTTGGGTGCCGATTAATTACTGTAGATGAAACTTGGATACACCATTATACGTCCGAAACAAAAATACTGTCCAAACAGTGGACTGCAAAGAGGAATTTGACTCCAAAAATGCAAAAACTATTTTTTGTCTGAGAAAGTGATGGCGACTGTTTTTTGTGATAGTCTGTTACTCTTACTATTTTACTATTTCCAGATCATCCATTACACTTTCAATTTTTCGAAATTATGCAATAGATGATCTAAGGTAGATGACTACTCGAAGAAAACCTCTCATGGAGTGGGTAGATTGAGATTCAAACACTATGATGAGTGATTGTAGGGAACTGTATAATTGCCAACGAGAAAAACTACACTACGGTTATGTTTCGGGGTGGAAATAGGACATCAAAGTGAATCGAGCTCTAGCTCTCTATTTCAACGTTATTCAAACAAATAGCCAGGAGTAACCAATATCGTTATACCAAGTAAGAAGCCCCTTAACGTATCGATACCAAAAGTTCACAAAATTAACTATATAATAAAAGGACAAGACATATGTGGTAGAAAAAAAACTTGATTTAGTTTCAGCCAAGTACTGTATGAATAACGATACAGGTCACTTGTGATGGCTATTGTGTTTTCCCATAGATATGTAAACAAGATGTTTTCCACCCTGGGTACAGCTTCGTAGGGGAATGTTGTTTTGTCGAGAGTGATAGCGTTGAAGCGTAGGCCTAGGCGTTCGAACTAAGCATCCCAAATATCACCCCGGGCTATCTTCAACAAGATATTCGACCTTCATCTTCAATGATAAGTAAAATTAAGCTGAACTGAACTGTTACGTAAAGGCAAACTTACGTAAAGTAGGGTAGTTGATAAGCCCACGTAACGAAAAATAGCGAGTAGAATATGGCCCTAAAAAAACATGAAAAGTTTGACCAGGTTCACCTAAATTTGAATGTAATACATGCCAAGGCTGGAAACATCTACATCGATGATGGGTGGCCTTGAGTAGTAATTATCCAATGTGAATTTAGCAAAATTGTGTAATTCGGGAACAAATCTTATTGAAATAGTCAGAGGACCTTCCTTTGACTAACTATTCCACAATAATTACAAGAGTGTCAAAAAAAATCCGCAAACAAGGGACACACGTCGTTCCAATCCTTCTAGAACACCAAAAAAACGATCATTCTCCAGATCGAAGACTTTGCACAGGTGGCTGATGGTTTTACTTCAAGTATCTGCGCTGCATTAGCTGGGTAAGTTGTTGTTTTTCCGTTGGGTATCTGCCACACGTACCAAAAAAGTCGTAGGCCTGCATGAGAGAAAAGGGGCAACCTTTAACATGTCATAATGCACCTCTTCGGAATTTTAATCATCATTCCGACTCCCACCCCGGAGTATGCTTGTGGAGTTGTTTCTTGGCTCTATCTGCAGATAGCGCAAGGGACATCCCACTGAATCAACTGCAGAAAGGTTTCATGAACAGCTGGAATTATATTTGTTTGGTCGTGATACTCAGACGTTTCACACCGTTCTGAAGAGACCATGACCGGTACTAATGATGGGGCGAGCACCCCAAAACCGGTCTATCGGTTAGTCGTATCGACCAACCGGCATTAGTTGGGTTAGTTGTTGTTTTTCCGTTGGGCATCTGCGACACGTACCTACAAAGTCGTAGGTCTGCATGAGAGGACTGGGGCAACCTTGAACATGTCATAATGCACCTCTCCGGAATATTATTGATGCTACCTCACAATATTTCATTAAAAAGAGGGTTGGAATTTTTTTTCGATGATCTGAATCTGTAAGCTCGTCAGATGATCTATACTCAGCAGGATGGAGCACGACCACATAATTTCAGTGGCATAAAAATAATTTGAGAGACTGTTTAGGAAACAGATGGATTACAACAAATGATCCCGTTAAGTAGCCGCCTCCTCGTTCACCAGACATGACACCTCTAGATTTTTATTTTTGTGAATTTCTGTAAACTGAGGTGTACAAAATGAAACATAATAATGTAGATGATTCGAAACATTATATTGAAACCATAATTAATAGAATTGATGGCCGAATTATCTTGAAAGCAACACGTAGTATCAAGAGTAAGGACCAAATATATGTTCAACAAGAAGGCGGTGTTTTCGAATATTTACTGGATATTTTATAGCAAAACAAAAAAATATTTTGTACTAGCCAAAAAAAGTGGATATTTCCACATAAGTCGCTCATTTTCAACTTCAGGAAGGAAGATGATACGAGCTTTGTTGTTGACAATGTTATTACAAATTGAAATTCATAATGAAATATAGTGTTCCCTATAGCAAATTTNATTCTATTGCAATCAACATAACCTAAGAAAACGTACTTCTATCGTCAACGTGTTTGTAATATCATCGGATGAATACATTTTTCTCATGTGGGGCAGGCACATTCGGACAGATATAATGGGGTAGATTTGGACTAGTCCAGAAGTGCCCCATTTTCATCACAATGAACTGATTGGCAAAAATCAATTCATTTTCGATGAATATTGTGAACTTTCATTCAATAAGGATATTTTTATTGGACCATATTTTTATCTGAATATAAACATTGAGTACGACTTTATAGTTACGCCTACGTTGTATCGTGCTTGTCATTATTTTTTTTTTCTAGTATGGTGCGGAATTATAAACGCAAAACAGACAGAGCAACATTTCCACGAAAGATTTGCGTAAAGCAATAAATGAGGTCATCACACATGAAAAAAAATTAGAGATGCAGCTGCAATGTATAATATAAAGAAATCAACCCTGCATTTCCACCTAAGAAAAGTGAAGTCTGCAAATAAGTCAGACTCAGGAAATGACAGTGATGAATATTCAGAAGTAGACATGTCCTTGAGCTTAAAATATGCATTTCAACTAGTTTTCTCCTTCGCAGAAGAAACAAAGTTAAAAGAGTATCTACTTAAGGCATCATCAATGAACTTTGGACTGACATATCTACATACGAGATCCTTAGCATTCCAATTTGCCAAAATGTTATCCAAAAAATATCCACTTGTTTGGAATGACAACCAGATTGCTGGAATTGAATGGATGCGGTCCTTCATGAAACGCCAACAAGAATTGTCGAATAGAAAACCAGAAAAAATTTGCATTGCACGTACATCTGGCTTCAACAAATCCAATGTTGGAATGTTTTTCAAAAGTTTCAGGAAAGTTATGGTAAAATATAAATTTTCTCCAGACTGAATTCTGAATACGGATGAGAGTGGTGTCTCAACAGTAATGCAAGGTCCAAAAATTATAACGAAGACCGGCATGAATCAAGTCGGCCAATGTGTTTTTTCAGAAAGAGGGACCCTCGTTACTTTTTGTGGAAT